TCACAGCTGCTGCACCACCCCCTCATCACAGCTGCTACACCGCACCTCAGCTGCACCATACCACCACAGCTGCTGCACCACACCACCACACCTGTTGCACCTCCACCACAGCCGCTGCAACTACATCACCCACCACCACTACCACACCACAACTGCTGCCACGCCACCACAGCCTGTGCACCACCAGAGCTCACCACTACCAAAGCTGCTGCACCATCGACGCCATCACTACACAGCTGCTGCACTACCAGCGCTCACCATTACCAAGCTGCTGCAACCATCTAGGACTCTCTTCCACAACTGCTGCACTACCAGAGCTCACACTACCACAGCTGCTGCAACATCAGACATCACTTTCCACAGCTGCTGCACTACCAGAGCTCTCACTATCACTGCACACCTGGATCACCACTATCACTGCACACTGAGATCACTCTTTCTTACGCACACCTGGAGTTCACCACTATTCACTGCACCAATTAGATCACACTACCATGCACTCTGAGAATCTCAATACCACTGCACCAACTGGATCCCACTACCCTACACCACCTGAGATCACTACCACTGCACAACCTGAGATCACCACTATCACTGCACCACTGAGATCACTATATACTGCACCACCTGAGTTCACCACTTGCACAGCAACCACTTAGATCACCACTTACCATTGCACCACTAAGATCACCACTTACACTGCACACCTGAGATCACTCTACAATTGACACCACTACCACTGCACCACTTGGAGCAACCACTACCACTGCACCACTGAGGTAGTTAATTTCAGTTGCTATTGCAAACAACAGAGGTTATTGTTGTGTTGTGGTATTTTTGTTTGTTAATGGAGAGAAACTACTTGACGACCAGTGGCGCCAGTTCTGATGACAGACACCATGGTGGGGACAGTGGTGACTTACGAGCGGGGACAGTGGTTGTTCGAACTGGGGACAGTGGTGACTACGAGCTGGGTCAGTGGTGGTGACTACGAGCTGGGGACAGTGGTGACTACGAGCTTCGGACGGTGACTACGAGCGGGTTCGGTGTCCGTAGTTCGATCGCGTGCGCACTCAGCGCTCACACTGAGGTCCGGGTTTCAAATCTCCTCCTAGTAACGGCTGGAAAACATTAGTGACGTGTTTCCATAAGACACCTGCTGTCCCTTGTCCTGTTCACCATCAGTTGAAGGGGTACTGGGTGTTAGTCGACTGCTGAGGATCGCTCCTGCAGTGACCAAAAATGACCTAATTAGGCCCGGAATTGCTCAGCATAACAAGGGGCTTTTATATCGCAGGATGTATTGATGTCAGTAGAGCTGTATACCTTGTACATGTATTGTAGTAAGTAACGATATTCGTATTATTTATTATTATTTTTTATTTTATTATTATTTTAAAAAGAACAAGCTGGAGGTGGGGCCTCTTGAACCATGTGACCGTGCTAGGATCAGTGGACTGAATTGGTACTGAGAACGTTCTCAGATGCTTTAGGCCAAGAGGCTAACGGTATCTAGAGCCCCATTAGTTACTTTTAGCCCGGAGGTCCTCTGATAAGAAGCATTACAGTCCTCTGTAAAACATTTCGACTAGAGGTCTTATAATTACTGATGCCTTCTTCGTGGAATATCTAATATTTTTGGGTAATAGAAACTTTCGGCGTTTGTTTGTTTGTGATGGTGTGCAATTAGCATCGTGTGAGTGATTCCGCTTGTTGTTCAGGCTCTATACATGAGCCTAGTGTTAGAGTAATGAGGAAAACAAGCGCCTCGGTAATTATGCGGTTGTGTAAATGAGGGTAATTAGCAAGAAACAATACAAGTAGCTTGGGAAACTTGTGTTTGAGATCGTGTGGGTGACTCTTTAATATTAACATAACCAGTGTACATTTTTATGATTATGTCTGCGGGTTGTCACTAAGGTATGTGCACAGATGTTTAGTTGTCTATTAAACTGTCGGTTTAAGATCCATGGAAACACTTGTGTATCTTTACTCTCGGATGTTCACCAACAGTGGCTTTATCAGTTTAGTAGGAAAACACTAGGGCAGTGAAGGAAAACACTAGGGGTTGACGTAGAAGTGGATACAATAGTTATGGTGATGAAATTCTCAGCCTGGAAGAAAAAGTGTACAGGTCCATCTGTCATGATATGAATCTAAAAGTGCATTCTTTTTAGTGTAAAGACCTGGTGTGTTACTCAGGAAGCTGTTTGTTGCAAATTAACAAAAATTCACCCGGTGTTTGTATGAGTGTGTGTGTGTGTGTGTGTGTGTCGTGTGTGTGGGGTTGGTGTGTGTGTGTGTGTGTGTGTGTGTGTGTGTGTGTGTGTGTGTGTGTGTTATGTGTGGTGTGTATGTTTTAGCCATAACGCTTTGTGTGTAGTTTTGCGGCACTTCTTACTTTTATCTGGCAACAGTCTGTATGGGAGTGTCGCCTGGCAGTAGGTCCTGCCTTCTTGCTCAACACTTTGTGTATGGCTATGTAAGACAGGTATGCTCTAACCAATATTTACTTGGTGAATACTGGGAATGCAGGTACAAGCCCCTACGTCTTGCCCCCACCAGGAAATCAAACTCAGATCAATCTTGTGATCCGAGTGGCTGTTACACTCTTAAATTACGGAATTTACTTCGTTAATATTTAATGTTAAATTTCGTACCCAAGAAGTCTTCCTAGATATAACTTACATTGTTGATACTATTTCATTAACGTGTCTTCGTAGAGAATTAATCCTTTTTACGATCCTGCATGTAGAAAATTATGCGATCCATGGCGTTCGTTTTTTTGGGTTCATGGTATTTTTTTTTTTGGGTCCATGAGGGTACTTTTGTTCAGGTTCATTGTGTCCTTTTTGTTGTCAGTTACGTCCTTTTTATTGACCAATGGCTTTCATTTGGAGGTCCAATCGCATTCGTTGTTGGTCCAATACGTCCTATAATGGGTAAGCAGGTCCCTTTGTGGTCCACTGCGTTTCGTGTGTTGGGTCCAAAACCTCTGTTGCGTTAGTTCAAGGCTTCGTCTTGGCTGGAGTGAGGTCCAAAACTGGACCATGAGTTGTGTCCCAGAGCTTTCATTCAGATTCTCTGAAGTAGCGCATTTTCTTTCGCCTTGTTTCTTCAGGTCTGGTAAAGCTAAAACTGTTTTCCTTGGTGGTGAATCCTTGTCTTCTTGTCGATTACTGACAAGGACGAATGAGACGCGTACAACACCTGGGTATCTTTAATGTGAAGAGTACGTGCACGACTGGCATGTTTTTTTTTTTTTTGCAATTCATGACGGAGATTATAACATATAGAAAGGGGAGATGAGGCAATCAAATCTTTCAGGTTTGATCAGTTGAAAAGTACTGAGGAACTAGACACCTGTCAATGCTGAAGAATTAGGCCACTGCCAAAGGCAGCGGGACTAGGAACCTATCAAACGCAGAGGGACAGAACACCTATCAAGCAGAGGGACTGAAACACCTATCACGCAGGAGGGATCTGAACACCTATCAAGGCAGAGGGACGGAACACCTATCAAGGCAGGGGGATGAACACCTATCAGGTAGAGGGACTGAACACCTATCAAGGCAGAGGGACTTGGAACCTATAAGGCAGTGGGATGAACACCTATCAAGGCAGAGGACTGAAACAACCTATCAAGGCGAGGGACTGAAACACCTATCAAGGCAGAGGGACTGAACACCTATAAGGCAGATGGACGAAACACTATCAAGCAGAGGGACTGGACACTATCAAGGCAGAGGACTGAAACCTATCAGGCAGAGGGACTGAACACTATTCAGGCAGAGGGGTAATGAACACATATCAAGGCAGAGGCGACTGAACACCGATCAAAGGCTAGAGGGACTGAACACTTATCAAGGTAGAGGGACTGATTAACTTCATCTTAAACAGTTGGCGAAAATTCATATATTAATACCCCAATGCTAATATGATCTTATTGAACTTGGTCGGCGCTGTATTTCTGGCTGTGTGCGCATGATCGTTGACGCTCTGAGAGAGGCTTTGGCATGTGTTTTGACGTCTGAGAGAGGCGTTGATGTGTTGACGCTTGAGAGAGGCGTTGCATGTGTTGACCGCTCTGAGAGTGGCGATGATGTGTGACGCTCTGAGAGAGGCGTTGCATGTGTGACGCTCTGAGAGAGGCGTTGGCATGTGTTGACGCTCTGATAGAGGCGTTGCATGTGTTGACGCTCTGCGAGAGGCGTGCATGTGTTGACGCTCTGAGAGAGGCGTTGCATGTGTTGACTCTGAGAGAGGCGTTGCATGTGTGACGTTGAGAGAGGCGTTGCTTGTGTTGACGCTCTGAGGTGAGGCGTTGCTTGTGTTGCGTTGAGATAGGCGTTGCATGTGTTGACGCTCTGAGGAGGCGTTGCATGTGTTTGACGCTCTGAGCGAGCGTTGCATTGTGTTGACGCTCTGAGATGAGGCGTTTGCATGTGTGAGCTCTGAGAGAGCGTTTGATGTGTTGACGCTCTGAGAGAGGGTTGCATGTGTTGACGCTCTGAGAGAGGCGTTGCATGTGTTGACCCTCCTGAGAGAGGCGATGCATGTGTTGACGATCTGAGAGAGGCGTTGATGTGTTGACGCGCTGAGAGAGGCGTTGCATGTGTTGACGCTCTGAGAGAGGCGTTGAGTGTGTAGACGCTCTGAGAGAGGCGTTGCATGTGTTGACGCTCTGAGAGAGAGATTTTACCTGGGAGAGGTTTTGGGGTCAACGCCCTCTGCGGGCGGTCTGAAGACCAGGGCCCAGTTCATCGAACACTTCGTGTACGTCCGATTTTGTGACAAGACAAAGTCACAAATTTCTCGCTGACGGAAAAAATAATCCAAATTTCCTCAGTTTGGAGAGAAAAAATCTAGAAGACGTTTTATCATCTTCCTGGATTTATTATTAGCAGGTTGAGAGAGTTTTAGGACATTCGGGGATGATGCTGGAGGAGGCGGACGTTTCGAGCAGGTCCTTGGAGAGCTGTGAGACGACCCGGTTCGCCATGGCGTCGCCTGGCGTCGCTGGCGTCGCCTCGCAATATGGGGAAATAAGACCAACAGTCTTAATTTCCTTAGTAGTCTAGTCTTAATCGCTATGTTTACAGGCAGGTTTTAATTTTTTTCGGCAAGTGATGTCTTATCTATGCCAGGCAGCAGACGTGCATGCCAGGTGAGATGTCTTTGAGCCACCTTTCGTGTGTGTATACACGCAAAGTGCACACACACACCCACACACACACACACACAAACACACAACACACACACACACGTGTGTCAAAACCGGGATAATCATCACATGAAATTCTAACTGTGTAGTACATCATAACATTCATCTTTCTCTCCTCTCCTCTTTCCTTCCTCTCCCTTTTATTCTTACCACTCTCTCTCTCTCTCTCTCTCTTTCTCTCTCTCTCTTCTTCTCTCTCTCTCCTCTCTCTCTCTCCTTCTCTCTCTCTTCTTTCTTTCAAGGAGGTTTAAAAGTGAGAGAGACATTAAAAGATGCTTATCATAATAAAATCTCACTCCACGTGTTATTTTTTGCTCACTCCAGCAACTTTACTTCCCCGCCCAGCCCGCCCCGCCCAGCCCCCGCCAGGGACCCCACCAGCCCGCCAGCCCCTCCAGCCCCGCCCGCCTTGATGGGCAGAAGGAAAATGTTTAGGGGGGAAGGTGGGGAGGTGAGATGTTGGATGAGTGGAAGTTGGTTGGTGAGTGGGCTGATGGGAGGGTGAGTGGGCTGATTGGCGGGTGGGCGGGCAGATGGGCGGGTTGGGTGGGTCAGGCGTGGGATAGTGGAGCAATGATGGAGTAATAAATCCATCCCTTCCTTGTCCTCCTCCTCCTCTTTCTCCCTTCTCCTCCCCCTCCATCCTCCTCCATCCTCCCTCCACCACCTTCTCCCCCTCCATCCTCCTCCACCTCCCCCCTCCCCCACCTTCTCCCCCTCCATCCTCCTCCACCTCCCCTCCCCCCCACTTTCTCTCCCTCCCTCCTCCTTCACCTCATCCCACATTCTCACCACCTCTTCCACTCCACACCACTCCTCCAGCACCACCACTCCTCCAGCACCACCACCTCCTCACCACCCACCTCACCCACCACCACCATCTCCTCCACCACCACCACCCCTCCTTCCAGCACCACCACCTCCTCCAGCACCACACCTCCTCCAGCACCACAACTCCTCCACCACCCACCAACTCCTCAGCACCACCACCACCTCCACCACCACACTCCTCCACCACCACCACCTCCTCCACCACCAACACTCCACCACCAGCACCACCACCTCAGACCACCACCTCCAGCACCACCACGCCAGCACCACCACCTCCCCACTCCTCCAGCACCACCACCTCAGCAACCCACCACTCAGCCACCTCACCTCGCACAACCCACCTCCAGCACCACACCTCCTCCACTCCTCCCGCACACCACTCAGCACCCACCCTCAAGCACCACACCTCCAGCCCACCATCCAGCACCACCACCTCTCCACCTCCTCCAGCACTCCACTCCAGCACCACACTCAGCACCACCACTCCAGCACCACCACCTCCTCACCTCCTCCAGAAACCACACTCCAGTACCACCACCTCAGCAACCACCACCTCCAGCACCACACCTCCAGCACCACCCCTCCAAGCACACCACTGCTGCTGAGGGTAAGTACGTACCTTCGGGTTCACAGGCTCAAGATCGCCACATCCTCTTTCAATCTTCAAACAAGTAGGCAAAAAAACAAAAAAAAAAAACACCGTACCACACTTGTTGGACTTACTTCTGTGATGTGTGTGTGGGTGTGGTGTGTGTGTGTTGTGGTGTGTGTGTGTGTGTACTCACCTAGTTGTACTCACCTAGTTGAAGGGTTGCGGGGGGTCGAGTCGATTCCAGGCCCGACTCTCACTGATCTCTACTAGCCTCACTCTCCTGAGCCGTGAGCTAAATTTTCATACCTCTGCTTAAAGCTTAAGTATGGATCCTGCCCTCACTAATCGCTTCCAAACTATTCACTTACTGACTATCTGTGGGGTGGACTGAAGAATACTCCTAAATCCCTGTGATTCATTCTGTGTCTTCAGCTCAACTGTGTCCCCCTTGTTACTGTGTCCAATCTCTGGAACCATCCCTGTCTTTGTCCACCTTGTTCAATTCCTCTCAGTATTTTTGTAAGTCGTTATCATGTCCCCCCTATCTCTCCTGTCCACCAGTGTCGACAGGTTTTGATTCCCTTAACCTCTCCTACGTAGGACCTACCTCTTGCATGGGACCATTCTTGTTGCAAACCTTTGCACTTTCTCTAGTTTTTTTACGAGGCTTGGTATGTGTGGGTTCACATGGTGCCGCACATACTCCAATATGGGCCTAACGTACACGGAGTACAGGGGGCCTGAATGATTCCTAATTAAGATGTCGGAATGCTGTTCGAGTTTGCTATGCGCCCATCTGCAGCCCGCAGAGTTGTGAGTGTGAGGTGTGTGTGGTGTGTGTTTGAGTGTGAGTAGTGTGCAGTTGTTTTGAGTGATATTTAGTATATTGAGTAATTGTGGAGTCAGTGTGTGTTGTGTGTTTATTGTATGTGTATGTGTGTGTGTGTATGTGTGGTGTGTGTGTGTGTGTGTATGTGTGTGTGTATGTGTGAGGTGTGTGTACGTAAGTATGTGTGTGTGTGTGTGTGTGTGTGTGTGTGTGACTGTGTGTGTGTGTGTGTGTGTGTGTGTGTGTGTGTGTGTGTTTTAGATGGCATTAATGTTTGCACTCACCTGAATGGGGTTTGGCTCTAGCTTTTGGTCCTTCTTTCTGACCATCAGTGAGAAGAAAAAGGAGAATTATACGGGGCAGGAGAAGCGAAAGAAATAGGACGAAATAAGGTGGCATAAAACAAGGGAGTAAGGGAACGTAAGAAAATAGGGGATGAAAAGGGAATAAGAACAGTGAACAATAAATGGACAAGGAAAAAGGGATAAAAAAAGAGAAACAAGAAAAGAGGAATGAGAAAAAGCGGCTTAAAAAAGGAAATAAAAAGAGAAATAAGTAAAAGTGGAATAAGAAAAGAGGAATAAAAAGAACAATAGGAGAAAGAGGAACATGAAAAGGAGGAATAAAAAAAGGGAACAAGGAAAGAAAGAGAACAAAAAAAGAGGAGCAAGAAATAGAACAAGAAAAGAAAGAACAGAAAAAAAGAAACAGCAAAGAAGAACAAGAACACAGAAACAAGAAAAGAGGAACAGAAACAGAAAACAAGATAAGAAGAACAACAAAAACAGAAACAGAAAGAACAAGAAAGAGGTGACAATAAAAAAGGAACTGAAAACGGAACAAGGAAAAAGAAACAAAGAAAAGGGGAAAAGAAAACCAAACAAGAAAATAGGAACAAGGTAAAAGAGGAACAAGAAAGAGGAAACATGAAAAAACGGGAACAAGAAGGAACAAAGCATGAGTACAGAAAAGAGAACAAGAAAAAGAGGAACAAGTAAAAGAAACAAGGAAAAAGATGAACAAGAAAAAAGAACAAGAAAAGAGGAACAAGAAACAAGGAACATGTAATAAACGGAAACAAGAAAACAGAAAACACGAAAAGGAGGAACAGGAAAACAGAAACAAGAACATAGTGGAACAAGAAAAGAGGTACAAGAAAAGAGGAACAAGAAAACAGAACAAGAAAATAGGAACAAGAAAAGAGGAACAAAAAAGAGGAACAAGAAAAGAGGAACAAGAAAAGAGGATACATGAAAAAACGGAAACAGGTGGAAATAAAAAAGAGGAATAAGAAAAAGAGATATTAATCAAAAGGGGAGCAAGAAAAGGGTTAAGAAAAAAGGTTATTGGAAACGTATTTCCCCTTACAGCTTCACTTAAGACATCCATCCATAACATCCACGTCTTGAAGTACAACAATAATAATATAATAATAATAATAATATAATAATACTAATAATAACAATAATAATAATAATAATAATAATAATAATAAATACAATAATAATAATAATAATATAAAAATAATAATAATAATCGCTCTAACAGCCCCAACATTTATTACCACCAGGAATTTACATAGAATATTCCCCTGATACCATGGGGCCGATAACGGCGGAGGTAATTACTGAAGATTATATTTGAAAAGAACGTTGATAAACGCTTAAGTGTAATCTTGAGGTGATAAGATAGTGTTAAGATTTTGGAATTATCCTCTTTGCCCCCCATAGATGATAAATTGCGCCACGCGCCCATTTTACCGCCAACTGCCGCCACTTCTGTGGCGACGAGAGTCAGCGTTAGTTTACCAAAAAAAAAAAAAAAAGTGAGGGCCATGAAAAAGGACCAAATAATCCACGAGGACCATGATTGACTTTGCAATCGACGGGGCCAGGAGAGACCATACCCCATGGTGGCCAAGATGTCAGAACAGCCTGATGAAACCCAGATTACTTGTATGGGCCACGACGGACCCTAGGAACCCATATGGACCAGTAGAATCAATCCATATGCATCATGAAAATAATAAAAACCCAATTGGACCGTGAAGACTCTGTACCGAAAGGGCCCATACTAGACCCAACAACCCACTCTCCGTTTTCTGAGCTCCACCGTTTTCTTCCGGGCCTTACGTCATCGTACGAGGGGAAACTATCCTGGAAAAAGAGAAAATTGGCACAAGATTAGGGAGGAGGAAACACAGCTGTGGAATCACCATGAATTTCTGCAGATGCAACTGGAAATATAAATTTATTAGAATGTTTTTAACATTGGCGAAATTTAAAATAAAGGAAAAATTGTTTTTAAATGAAAATATACACTGGTGTACACCACACACACACACACAACATAATATATATATATATATATATATACATATATATAAATATATATATATATATATATATATATAGATTTATATATATATATATATATATATATATACATACATGCAAAACAAACTCATGTGAAAAGAGTAGAGAAATTTCCAGCGCTTTCGTGACTACTCACATTATCATGGAAACTATGTGATAGTTCCTTGATAATGTGAGTAGTCACGAAAGCGCTTGGAAATTTTCAATACTCTTTTCACAGTGGTAGTTTAGCATATTTTAAAATCACTGTTTACGTGATTCTTATGCATATTTATATATATATATATATTTATATATATAAATTATATATATATATATATATAAATTTATATATATATATATATAAATAATGTTCGTGCCGAATAGGCAAGACGAGAGTAAATGTGCAACACATGGTAGTTTTACTCTCAACACGTTTCGCAACCAGTGGACCGTCTTCCAGTTTAAAAGTTAGCTGAGAGAGTAGAAAATGAGGGAATCAGTCCCTCGCCTTGATGTTGAAACTGGGTATATTGCAGCTACACATGCAGTATAGTTTAAACTAGTAGGACTGTAAACACTGGAGGGACAGCAGTTATTTATAGCATCACCGAGACGACGTAAGGACATTTAATATCACTTGGAGCTCGGTCGGCTCCTAGCGCTGGGGTGACCCTTATAATGCCAAACAACAATGGCCGCGCGCTCACATACCACGTGGACTGAAAACACTGAAGAAGACTAACATGGAATTATTAACCAGGAAAGTCACTTTCTCTTGTGGACTTATTTTCCGAATTAAGTTGAAATTGTTATGCAGAATATATTGTGAAAAACTATCTTTTTCATTAACGAAGTTATATATGTATTGGGAAATTGAAGATTATTATTATCATTATTATTTTTTTTATTATTATTTTAAATCTTATCGATGCGGCTAAGGTAAGTATAGTAAATTATTGAATTTTGACCTCCTTCTATGATGCCGTTCCATTACTTTCATATTTCCCAATATTTTCAATATTTGTTTTAAAGATTTTTTGAAATAATATTTATTCAGGAAATTTAAAATTTTTCAAATATACTTCAAACAAATGAGAGTAAAAGCGGGTACCTACATCTCGGTAACTATTTCCAAGCTTGTTGAGAGAAGAGTGCAGGGATGAGGAGTGAAGCTGGCTACACAGTGAGACAGGGAGGAGTGGAAGTGGGTACACAGTTGAGACAGGGAGGTGAGTGAAGCTGGCTACACAGTGAGACAGGGAGGAGTGAAGCTGGCTACCACAGGAAGACAGGGAGGAGTGCAGCTGGCTACACAGGAAGACAGGGAGGAGGTGAAGCTGGCTACACAGGAAGAAGGGAGGAGTGAAGCTGGCCTACACAGGGAGACAGGGCAGGAGTTGACGCTGGCTACACAGTGAGACAGGGAGGGTGAAGCTGGCTACACAGTGAGACAGGGAGGAGTGAAGCTGGCTACATGTGAGACAGGGAGGAGTGAAGTGGTACCACAGTGAGACAGGGAGGAGTGAAGCTGGCTACACAGGAAAGACAGGGAGGAGTGAGTGGCTACACAGGAGACAGGGAGGAGGAAGGCTGGCTACACAGGAAGGACAGGGAGGAGGAAGCTGGCTACTCAGGAAGGACCGGGAGGGAGTGAAGCTGGCTACACCGGGAGACAGGGAGGAGTGAAGAGCTGGCTCACAGGGAGACAGGGAGGAGTGAAGCTGGTTACCACAGTGAGACAGGGAGGAGTGAAGTGGCTACACAGGAAGAAGGGAGGAGTGGAAGTGGCTACACAGAGTGAGACCGGGAGGAGTGAAGCTGGCTACACAGGAGCAGGGAGGAGGAGTGAAGCTGGCTACACAGTGAGACAGGGAGGAGTTAAAGCTGGCTACACAGTGAGACAGGGAGGAGTGATGCTGGCTACCACAATGAGACAGGGAGGGTGGGGGGGGGAGTGAAGCTGGCTACAACAAGTGAGTACGGGGAGAGTAAAAGTGGCTACACAGTGAGACAGGGGAGGAAGTGAAGCTGGCTACACAGTGAGACAGGGAGGAGAGAAGCTGGTACACAGTGAGAAAGGAGAGTAAGTGGCTACAACAGTGAGAAGGGCGGAGTAAAGCGGGCTACCCAGTGAGACGGGGAGGAGTAAAGCTGGCTAAACAGTGAAGACATGGAGGAGTGAAAGTGGCTACACAGTAGAGACAGGGAGGGAGTGAAGCTGGCTACCACAGTGAGGACAGGGGGAGGAGTGAAGCTGGCTACACAGGAGAAGGAGGAGTGAAGCTGGCTAACGTGAGAAAAAACAGGGAGGAGTGAAGCTGGCTACACAGTGAGACAGGGAGGAGTGAAGTGCTACACAGGAAGACAGGGAGGAGTTGAGCTTGCTACACAGTGAGACAGGGAGGAGTGAAAGCATGGCTACACAGTGAGACTGGTAGAGTGAAGCTGGCTTTCACAGGAAGACAGGGAGGACGTGAAGCTGGCTACACAGTGAGACAGGGGAGGAGGGAAGGCTGGCTACACGTGAGACAGGGAGAAGTTAAAGCTGGCTACACAGTGGACAGGGGGAGTACGCTGGCTACACAGTGAGACAGGAGGAGTGAAGCTGGCTACACAGTTGAGACAGGGAAGAGTTGGAAGCTGGCTACACGGGAAAGACAGGAGGAGAGAAGTGGTACACAGGAGACAGGGAGGAGTGAGTGGCTACACAGCGAGGACAGGGATGTGTGAGATGGCTTACACAGTGAGACAGGGAGGAGTGAAGCTGGCTACACAGGGAGACAGGGAGGAGTCAGATGGCTACACAGGGAGGACAGGGATGAGTGAAGCTGGCTACACAGGGATGGACAGGGAGGAGTCAAGCTGGCTAACACAGGGAGACAGGGAGGAGGTGAGCTGGCTACACAGGGGACAGGGAGGAGTCAAGTGGGCAACACCGGGAACAGGGAGGAGATGAAGCTGGCTACACTGGGAGACGGCTCTAGCCTTATTTGGGAGTACCACCAACAAGCCTCCTGGAAGACCGTTTAAAAAACCTCCGAAACAGGTGATGAGAAAACCAGTGTGTAATCTGATACCATGAGTTTCAGCAGACTACTATTATAAATGCAACCCTCCTTGGGTAAAAAATATAATAATTTGTTTTCCAGTTTCACGGAAATGTTTATTAAACCAGTGCAATAAACCACGCCCCAGTTAGTGTTTCTACCCGACAGCAACAACAAATCAAGCGTAAGTAAAGGACTATTAAACCAAGTAAAGGAATACTTAAATAACAAAAAGGCACATACGTGACTGGAACGATACACAAATAACCGCACATGAAGAGAGAAGGTTACGACGACGTTTCGGTCCGTCTTGGTCTTTGTCAATTGTCCAAGTCGGACGAAACGTTCGTCGTAGCTACTCTCTTTTATGTGCGGGTTATTTGTGTAAAGATTACTTTGTGGTCAGGGAAGGAAGAACCAGGCAGCGAGATAGTGAAGTTTGTAGTGTAACGTCGAAGTAAAGTGAACTATCATGTGTTGTTATTGTAGTCGTATAGTAGTAGCTGTAGTAGTTGTAGTTAGTAGCTGTAGTAGTTGTACTAGTAGCTGTAGTAGGTGTAGTAGTAGCTGTAGTAGTTGTAGTAAGTAGCTGTTAGTAGGTGTAGTAGTAGTTGTGACGTAGATGTAGTAGTTGTAGAAGTAGCTGTAGTAGTAGCTGTAGGTGTAGTAGTAAGCTGTATGTGTAGTAGTAGCTGTAGTAGTTGTAGTACGTAGCTGTATTCGTGTAGTAGTTAGTAGTTGTATAAGTAGCTGTAGTAGTTTGTAGATTAGCTGTAGTAGTAGCTGTAGGTGTAGTAGTTGCTGTAGGTGTAGTAGTAGCTGTAGTAGTTGTGTAGTAGCTGTAGTAGGTGTGCACCCCCCCCCCCCCCCCCCCCCCCCCCCCTGTAGTTGTGAAGTAGCAGT